AGCGCCATAAATAACACTTAACTAGCTCTCGGAGACAACACACTAAACTTATGAATACACCACAGAGTTCATCGTGATGAATAAATTTGACTATACAGTTTTCTTGAATAAGCACAATAAAGTTTCTATTAAAATGGCTGGGTTTCGGTTTTCACATCAGCTTTCTTGCAGTGGTGAAGGACGTAATGCTCATAAATGCGGCAACGGCGTCCTTGCATCATTCGGAGGCAGTTTGAGGAGGAGAACGTTGGTGTCAACGTTACTAGCTACTAGTAACGTTGCGTTGGTGTGGTGTCGAAAGTCTAAGGAAATCTGAAGTGCACATTGTAACGCGACGAAAATCATGGACCCCACTGCAATGCAAGTCAGAAGCCGCACGGCTCTACAGCACTTTTTGCGATTGCAAATATCAGGGGAAGCTGGCCAGCCGACTGACAAACGAATCGGCTGTCCTGTCAGGCAAAGGAGAGGTCTTGCTGCCGAGCGTGCGGCCAACGATGAAGAAGCTGCACGCGTTCATCGGTGCGGTGTGCTCACCATGCTTTCTGTACCAGTGTTACAGCGTGTTAGGGGGTGTACCTGCAGTTCTATTTCAGCGTCACCATGGATGAGAGACGGCGGAGCGATTGCATGGTTTTTCCCGCGGTTACAGTGTGTGTCGATGGCTGGTAAGACGATCGTCGTTTTTACAGCCCTTTGACACATTAGAACCAAGAAATTGTTTACTTATATGCATACACCAACAACATGGCATCTAGATCTGACAAATGACGGTGATGCCTCGCGCTTGTGTTGGCACAAAACTCTTTCTTTGTGTCTCGCCACGGTGGCCGAGTGGCTGAGGCACTCGGCTGCTGACCCGCAAGTCATGAGATCCAATCCCGTCGTGGTGGCCGTATTTTCGATGGAGCCAAAAATGCTTGAGGTCCGCGTGCTTATATTTAGGTGAATGTTAAAGGGCCCCAGATTGTCGAAATTTCCGGAGTTCCCCTTCTACGGCGTCTCTCATAATCATATGGGGGTTTCGGGACGTTAAACCCCAACACTTATTAAATAACCCTTTCTTTGTGTGTGAGCATGCATGAAAAGCTAATCAACAAAACATCAGACTCAGCAAAACCTAGCCCAAACAGCATCTCGGACATTTTTTTGAAGATGTCTTCTCAAGGGCCTTTCAACCAAAACGCCATATTTACTGCGACGACTTGCAGCAAGCGTATCTCAATAAACTACTCATATACCCGAGTTAGGTTATGCAAGCCGTACTTAACAGGAACTGCGACACCTGAGCAGATACCAAGCTTTGCGAAGCTCACCTGTAACAGCAGAAGTGCAGACATAAACGAAACCAGGCAAGAAAAAAAGAGAGACATTAAAAGGAACCGCTTGTTTCTGAGTAGTTATCAAAGTTCCTATTACACGCAGTGTTCCCAACCCTCATGATTAATTTTTTTTTCGGGTTACATGTTTTACAGAGAAAACTAAAGTTACATGTCAGTGAAAATTACAATACTAATAGCAAGTTACTCGTTTCCTTCGGCAAAAACAACGGGACTGTAAAATTAAATTGCTTTTAATTGCCCTTGTCGACCCCAGTAGAGAAGTCGTTAGGGTGCTCGGCTGCTGAACCGAAGGTCGGGAGACCAATCCCGGTGGTGGCCGTCGCTTCTCGATTAAATCAAAATGGTATGGAGGCCCATGGGCTGTGTGATGTCAGCCCATCCTTCACTACATACGGCGTCTCTTATACTGTGGTTTTAGGACGTAAAACACTTGGTAACATTATTCTATTATTATCATTATAAAATTGCACTTGTGAAACCTGAATGTCCGCCCTAGACGGCCAGGTGATGAATATGCTATCGCATAAGTGGAGTCCCGAATAGTGTGTTTCTTTTTCTGTGTGGTTGTTCATTCAGCGTGACGTTGACTATTTAATCAAGACATATGCACCAACTAGCCCATCAGCGAGTCATACTAGAGTCCCCAACCGACGGCGCCATCGCGAATTCATAACGTGAACTCATAAGCTTACGTGCATCTTACGGCAGTCTAGTTACTGTCATGTCTTTCCATTTCATTACGACTCTTTTGACATGTGTCCATGACACCTTATGGCAAGCACGCCATTTTTCGGCGCAATGTTGTCTGGTACGGTGTTTACGTAGTTGACGGTTTCTTGCCTAAATTGTTTTCTCTTTCACAGGTTTAGCACGGAAAAATTCTGTAAACACCGACCTAGCAAGTGTAAAAAGCATGAGATGGTGAGTAGTGTGTGGTGCTTGAGTGTAGGTTCTTGAGACAAAAAATAATAGACGAAAGCTATTATTTGCATGTGTATTTTTATCTTGCCATTCTGCAACTATTTTCGTACTGTGTGTAGTGGAGTTTAGGGACTGATAACTCATGGCTTAGTATCGAAATTTCTTCTTCGCAACGCAACGTAATTTTTTGTGGGAAAGGCTCTTTGATTTCTGTTCGCATATAAATTGACGATCATAAGCCATATTTTGCCAGTGTCATTAACCACTTTTATATCCGAAGGACATCAATAACGACAATAAAGTTTGAGCGTCTGGTATAGCTTATATCCTTAGTGTGACATTGGGAGAGAAAAAATCCTTCCACAGTTCCAGTAAGCATCTGCTTATGCTCATCACAGCTTCTTCTTTAGCATTTTTCCTTAGTGCTTAACAATGGACATAGCCTTCTAATTAGTTTTTTTCTAATCGCAGGCTCAACACCAAAGGCCGTTAGATTGATCCAGTAATTGCCATCTGCTGAGCACTGTAGTTTAAACAGCTGCGACATGTCACAGTGCATCTGCATTATCATGGGAACAACAAGTTTTGCAACGCAAGACTTTTAACTGATAAATCACTCACAAGCGATGTGATTTTCCGTGATGTCGTGCGATTTGTAGCAATAATTTATTGGTTAACATCTTCCTAGCCATTACGTATATTTGCTATCCGTAATTTTTTGCAGGCGTAAACGATCTAAACTAAGTGTTGTATGAACATATATACTATCTTATCACCTTTTTTATAGTTGTTTGGATGACAGATACAGCTAAATCATCTTTCAGTGGTCATTTTAAAGATTGAAAAGTAATGAAATGTCAATGAGAAGACAGCATTCAGGAATATCTTGAATAAAAAAAACGTCAAGCCTACGCAGAACGCGGAGCACCGTCACAGCGAAACCTATAAAAGCGGCCTGTCAGAGCCTTTTCTAAACACTCGTTGAGTAACTGCCATAAACAAGCAAACTGCTGGGTACTCACTACGCTATAAATAATCATAATTTTTGTGTAGTAGGCCCACATTACCTATGCTATCCTTCGTCTTTCTTTGCAGAAACGTGGTATCCACCACACGCTTGTTGGGAATAGGAATTTCGGGCAATTTTTTATGCAGTGGCTGAATACGGTGAAGAAATGTGCCTGATGTGGGTATATGTGCCACAAATAAAAAATAATTATGATCAAGTTTTATATTGGGTTTGAGCATTATGGACAACTCATTCGTTATGCAATTCGCATCGTGTGATGCCTGCAGTTGTTCCTTTGATGTTCTAAAGCGTTTATTACTCATATTAACGCGATTCCTTTCCGGACATCAAGCCTGCCTAAGGTCAGTTTAGAAACAAGTTCGAAACACTGGCGTGGCTCAGTGGTTGAATACTGCGCTGGCGCACAGTGAACCCCGGTTCGAATCTCATTGTGTCAGTGGTGTTTCTTATTTACTGCAACGGTGCCACACGTGACCCGTGTTTTGGTCCGATAACCGCTTTCGCTGTAAAAATATCATCGGTACTGTTAGTTTGCCAAGTAGTGCGGTCAGCTTCTCGCCGCTGGTGTAAACAGAAACAGCAACATCACAACTGAGACAACTACAAAATCACGAAGAAAATTTGATGAAAAAGTGATAATGGTAGTGAGCAGCATTTGCACCGAAAGTTTATTGTTCGAACAACGATCTTTTTGTGTGTGTCTTTGTGGGGGGTTTTAGGTGAGAATAGTTGGGATTAACTGATCAAGCATGTCCGTAATTCCATTCGCATTTACTCTTATAGGCTCTAAAATAACTGCCGGTCGATAGCGAGACGGGCTAAGACGTAAGAATTATCGATGTTATAAATTCGAAATATTTTTGGTGAAGAAGTGACCATTAGTCCCGCGGGCGCTTCTTCTTCGATTAGACTCAGCTACTGCACATGTAAGAGTGCCCTACCCGGACGAGTACTAATCGTAGACGAATACAACTTCGGTAAACGTTGCAGTTGCCACGACCATGTACAAGGAAAATGAAATCGCTTTACCACTGTTGTCGAAACTTCATCGACTTTAATCGCCGTTGTCTAACTTCCATTAATTATTGCTCCACCTGGCTGGGAAAAGCGTGCAGAAGTTCTTCCTAGCCTTGATCTAAAGTAACGCCGTTGTTCAAATGATCTATCATTTGTCTGATCAAGTATATATAGCACGCATTACGAGCATATATTGGTGTCATTGAGTTCACCCTTTTACACAATGAATGTCGCAATACTCCCTTGCTATTCGCAATGCGTATCAACTTACAAGAATGGAAACTTGGGCTAGTTGGTGCGTAGTCATATATACAAGATGTTTCAGCGCGCGAACAAAGGAAAAAGGGCAGGGTAGACAGAAAGAGCGCTGACTTCCAACTAACTTTATTTGACAGAGTGGCAAAAATATATACTGCTAAAAAGGATGATAACAGAGAATTAAGGTAATTCAAAGTGAAGCAGGAACTTCACTTTGAATTACCTTAATTCTCTAAGTGCATGAAAACAGGTCCCCACCCTTCGTCGTAGAGCTTTACACGTAATTTGTATAATGCTGGTTTTAAAGCAATAAATATTTTATATTTTATTCGTTTCACAACATTTTTATGTCCACTGTGACTGAGGTCTCTGTATTTGAGTTTAATTCATGTTGCCCATTATTCGTACGTGTGCGTTTTTTTTGTGTTTTCGAAGCACGTGCCTCTGCTGAGTATTGCTTAACGGATACGAATCACGGGATCAGTCCATCTTGGTTTTTTTCTCAGTCTGCAAAAAGGAAAATAATGAAGTTAGATCAAACTCAAACTTAAAATTTTATTCATACTTTCTGAAAATATAAATATTGGTCTCAAGTACTTTACTTGTGATTGCAAAAAAGAAAATGCACGCATATTCCTGAAGTGAGGGCTGATGATGAGGCGAATCAATCTAAATTGGATCATGATTCATGGCTTTATATTTTGTTCTGGCTAACAATCTTTCGTTTTGTTTGTTAACTTGTTGTTCTGGTATTTAATTTCATTGATGCGTGGCTAAATGTTAGTGTTTTCATGGTGTTGTGACTTTTTATTTTGTTTCTTATTGTTTGAAGATGTTTTGGTTTGTTCATATGTCATTGATGTGGCTGTTTTTGCCGCTTGTATAGTGTTGTGGCCTTCTATTTTGTCCTGATTAAGAGCCTTTTATTTCGCGCTTGTTAACGCTCTACTCTTTCATATGCTTTGACTGATGGCTAGTTAATTGTCAGTGTTATTACAGCCTTGTGGCCTTTTATTCAGTTTGACCTTTTTATTTTGTTCTTTTAAACTTCCATTCACCGCCATAGGTGCTTTCACAGATGTTTTTGCATGGGTGCTATGATCGTGCACGCCACCGAACGCGGGACAAGGCGATGTCTTAAGGAGCCCTAACACACCTTGGAAGTATGTGACGTCACGCATTTCTTGTAGGCGACATTATAGACCATTTAACTGTGGCTCCTAATGACATCCCGTTCCGTCCACCATGTGCCGAAACAGCATCCGTGGGCAAGAAGAGCTTTAGAAAATAGCCCGCTAATTTGCTACTCTCTTTCCCTTATTTGGCAAAATATATTCAAGTATATTTTATTTTCACCTACATAAGCGTTGTAAGAGATTCCCATGAACTTTACGCACGTTTTCTTTATCTGAAAATCTAAAGTGAGACATTTCTTGCATTTAAAAAAAACTTAAAAACGCGCTTTCATTTTCGACGTTAGGAACTGGTATATGGAGTGACGGGAACTTTTCTGCGGTACAACGCTTGTGACCTTGAAAATATTCGTTGGGCGCTCACGTGAAAATGTTATCTCTTATTCGTCACCGAAGCCAGTTTTTTTAACCGGGCGGCTGAGTTTTGACTATGTCATTCTGTATGCTGCAGGTTGTCGTTGATTTGATCACTGTCGTGACGAGAGCATTTTGATTTGATCGAAGCAAAACAGACATAGCGTTTTTTTAGTTAGAATCACACGTATACGTTTAAAAATTCCGCATTGTCAGATTAGTTCGCAACCCTACGTTCTGAGTTATTCCTATATCTACGGCTCTCTTTCCAGACATCAGGTCTAACGGATCAAACAATCACCCAAATTCATCAATATGAATCAGTCCTGACAATCAACAATAATCTGGAGACTACAAGGAAACATCTAGGCAAGCTTTAAAAAAGACTTGCGTTAAATAGTTCTCCCTGGCGATCACTTACGTACACGTGGTGACTTGAAGTGTTAACATTCATTTCTTACCACAAATATTTCGCACTAAGAAGTAAATTCGGCAACGTTTATAATCACACATTAGACAAGATGGTATGAGACCTTCTTACCTTAGATTTTGTTCGCCTCTTGTAAAGAAGGCATTAACAATCTTCTGGATTTCTCTTCTGTAAGATAAACAATAAGAAGAACGAAACGGTAAGGATCTTGTTTGCTTTGTATTTATTAAATAATTGACGACTGTTCACTAACGCAATTACGGTAATACATGATTGCCATATTATTGTCCCAGTGCGCCCTTTTCCTATTATGTAAATGTATGGAGTTCATTTTCGGCACCCTCGCCCTGAGTAGCAGCACTCTCCCCTTATTATGCCAATTTGGGGGCCAGAGTTTGCGTTCGCTTTTCTTAGTAGTGTAGGCGGTGCACCCCTCGCCCCCCCCCCCTCCCTCACGTGCACCCGCCAATGGTGAAACCTTTATCTGCGTATAAGTTACGGTTGGTGAGCCTATTGAAATTTTAGTGGAGAGTGCCGAAGTTGCATTGAATCGCTCGAACTTAAGACACTGCCATTAACACATATTCATAGCATGCAGTGATAAGGAAAGGAAGATATGGTATCACGGGTACGTACTTGTGTAAATACGCTCTGCCATGCATATTCAAGAGAAAGCCGAGCGCAGACATTCCGAGCCAAATGCCCAGGTACCCGCCCGCGTACGCAAGCAGCTCGATCCGCTACGCGACGAGGTAAACAAAAAAGAAAAAGAGAGAGAGAAGTTTTTATTGAGTTAGCTATAGTTCCTTAAACAGCATAGTTTGTTTAATTGAAGAGAATCCTTAATATATTTCAACGAAGCGAAGCAGGGCCAAAACAGCTATAACAATGATTGATATCTGGGGTTTAACGTCCCAAAACCACTATATGATTATGAGAGACGCCGTAGTGGAGGGCTCCGGAAATTTAGACCACCTGGGGTTCTTTAACGTGCACCCAAATCTGAGCACACGGGCCTACAACATTTCCGCCTCCATCGGAAATGCAGCCGCCGCAGCCGGGATTCGAACCCGCGCCCTGCGGGTCAGCAGCCGAGTACCTTAGCCACTAGACCACCGCGGCGGGGCAAAACAGCTATAACAAGGCCACTCATAAAGATAGAGATAGAAAAGCGAAGGAAAGGTGGGGTGGTTAACCACTTTGAACCCTGTTTGCATATTTTAGGGCCGAACCATGGCCATCGACCAGTACGAATATCGAAGTGTGCATCACTCGTATTCAGCCTTTTCGAATGAAAGATAAAGGTCATTGACCAAAAGGCGCACGTGCAGCGCTTGTGGTAAATTTGCACCGGCAAATAGTATATCACTACGTGCCTTTGTAACACCGCCAACACAAACATTTCGCAACACATCCAGTGGTGCTTCAAGTCTATAGAATAGCTGCTGAGAAGCCAAACATATTTCTGAAATGTCTGAAGACGTGTAAATATCGTCCGATATTTTATTGTGCACGAAAAAAATCTTCGACGAGGAAATGCGACTCTTTGCTGTGTAGACGTATGCTGACGTAGCAGTACGCAACACAAGAATCAAGCTGACCAAATTTTTGTAACGTAAGTAAAATGTAAACTTTTTATTTTAGATAAAGCGTTGAGATGAGGCAGAAAATGTTTGCGGTGGTCGATATGGAGAACGTATGTTCATTTTCCCGTCGAAGACAAACTTATTTGTGGATGGCCGACTCGGGGCTTTTTTCTTATTTGTGGTCTCTAGTCACACTCGCACAGCCATTCTTTTACTTTTGAGGTGCTGTCCAGTTTGCGTTCGGTCGAGTATTTCAGAACAAGTTGCGTCACTCCCAATAGCAGCTTTTAGTTGCGAGCTCGCTCTATTTCGGTGAGTAGATGTCCCCATGCGCTCTGCTGGTCTTATCCTGTTACCGTGGCCACTCAACACTTTCGAGGCGTCTATTCGCGAAACAAAAAATAAATACAGCATATCCACGAGGACCGAGGTGAATGATGACGAGTGGGGCGAAGCTCTCCGCAGGGAGGTTAATCACCCTAGTCGGTCATCAATCACGGACGGACTTAAAGACGGACGGACAGATGGACACACAGACGAATGGACGCCTGGACGGACGGCGGACATACAGACGGACGGACAGATGGACACACAGACGGATGGACGCTTCGCCCCTCTCAACTGGTTGCAAACTGGTTGCAAACTTTGCAAACTGCTTACTACTACGACGATGACACCGGGACATGCGGCCCATGGCGTAAGGAGCTCGGCCCTTAAAACAAGGACTTCGCCACCGCTTGTTTAAGTTTGAGTTATTTGTCTGCAGCAGGACCAATAAAAAATGTCACCCGCTTGTGAATAAGCTCACTAAACGGCATAACCTGCCATCCTGAACGGTACGTTCTATTCAACGCTCTGTAGTCTACAATAAAGCGCCGTTAGGCTTGTTTAGAGGCCACAACGTAGAGAACAGGTCTAAAGTCACCTATTAGCACGATACTTTCTGGGCGGCCTTTGTTTTGTAGCCCGGTCTCAGATGATTCGTTTCAAAGCAGTAGTGTGCGTCGTTTGAAGTAAATACGGGTAATGCTCCGCAGACATGATACATCGTCACGATGTCATTGCGACAGACGCTATGTCATATATATCAGTTATGAATTTGTGCACATCTTGTATTTGCGATGTTACATGTTAGGCTCTTGTCATTGGTTGGTAAAAACAGCAGTAGCAACATTTTCATAAACCACACATGCACTCCAGCAAACCTGCATATTTCACTTAACTGTTAGCGTAGGCTGGTACAGCACAAGCTCTTCGATGTCCGAGCGGAAGCGAAGCTTCAGAGTGAACTTCTCCCTGCAGTCGAAGATCGGGTAAAGGTAGAGTAATAAAAACAGTGCGAAGTACATGACTTTCTATCGAGACCATTGAAGGGCGAAAGAAATGCATCCCATTTATAACATCGCTTCACCTTTGTGTGCAATGTAAATGCTTGCATGTAATATATAACACATTATTTAGGTGGTGGAACAAGATAGAACTCATTTTGCACGAATTGGGTAACAAATGTCGCTTTAGGCCCAGGAGCCTTCAGATGAAGATGCTGAGAACAATAAAATTACTGAATTAGTATTTTTTTGCATTTCGAATACTTTTTTTCAAACGTAACGTTTCCTTCAATAAATAAGATTGTATTAACTGTGTCCTGATAAATGTCAAACATAATTTACATATATAGAAACAAAAACAAAGAAGTGAAGAAAATCACTTGTTCAGGTGGTAGGAGGAGGAGGAGGAACAAGAGAGAAAGTATGGAGGTTAGATTGGCGCTGGGGAAATGAAAAAGGGTGTATAAAGATGAGAGAGAGAAGAGAAAGAGACGAGAAAATTGTCAGTACGTTGGCTGACGCGTATGCAGTGGTGGAACTGTACAAAAGTCAAAGGATAGTCAAAGGAGATCGAGAAAGATAGAGAGGAAAGGCAGGGAGGTTAACCAAGCTTAGCTCGGTTGGTTACCCTACACTAGGGGTGAGGAAAGGAGGAATATTAGAAAGGAAAGAGATAGAACAGAAGAGGAGTAAGAAAGAGAAGGATGAATAGTCAGCTCGAGACTACACAGCACGGCCTCACACTGTTCTTTCACAAGCGCTCGTGAACTTTGCTTTCATGGCTTTGCGCGTATGTGAAACCATCGGCCAGTGTCCCAGGATCTTCTTTTCTGTAAGCGGCCGTGAATCCAGCTGACAGAGCTCGGCTTGCATAATACGTCGGTCAGACTTGTATTCTGGGAAGTGGCATTAAATTTGCTCAAGCGTATCCTCGCAGGCGGAGATGTTGCATGCCGAACTGCTCACCATTCCAAGGGGACGAGAATACGCATTCGTAAATGCCACACCCAACCTCATGCGACACAGAAATGTTTCAGCGCATTGTGGGAGCCCGGATGGCAAACGAAATTGCAAGTTTGGGTCGATAGAATACCCGGCGTATTCCATTGTAGGGCAGTCATACGGCGAGCAAGTGAATGTAGTCGCCTTGCAGCATCTGTTCTCAAGGCGTACGCAGGCCTTAGTCATGAGCCGATCGAGCAGCGTCATCCGCGCGGTCATTGCCGACAATTCCGAATTGACTCGGCAACCACTGAAATAGAATATCGTGACCTTCAAAGAGCGCTTCGTGGTAGTCGTGCCTTATCTGATGTACTGATTGTTCGTGTAACCCAAGCTGCATAACGAACCGTAATGTCTGTAAAACTGACCTCGAGTCGCAAAATATGGCCCATTGATTAGGTTGCTGCCGAAGAATGTACTTTACTGCACCTCGAAGCGCTGCGAGTTCTGCTGCTCTCGGCGTCGTGGTGTGAGAGAAATTGTACTGAAGCAACACACTACCAGATGGGATAACCACTGCTCCTGTAGAGCTGTTGTAATTAGGGGAGCCATCGGTGCAAACATGTATGTGGTCAAAGTACCTTTCGTCCAGCAGACGCAAAGTCAATTGCTTCAGAGCTAGCGGTGACATACATGCCTTCTTAACGATTCCAGGAACCGATAAGTGCACGTCAGGTTGACGGAGCCTCCATAACGCAGCTGCTGGACGCATCGAAAGTGTGAAGCGAGGCGGTAATGCGTCCTGATGTTTCGTCACAATACCGCAGGACAAAGAATGGGGCTTCCGCGCTGTCAAACACGCTAAATGATGTGACTGAAGCCGTCATAAATGCTGAATGTGCGCTCTGAGCGTCTCGACAATGATTTGCGTTGGGGCCGGCTCTTCTTGTGCGATAACAATAGTTGTCACGGTCGATGAGCATCTTGGAAGGTCAAGACATGCCCTAAGTGCTTGGGCTTGTACGCTCTGTAGTGCACGGATGTTAGTCTTGCACGTATTCGACAGGGCAGCAAGGCTCTACCGGAGGAGTCCGAGAAAGGGGGCTGTATAAAGTTGCACCATGGAGTAAACGGATGGGCTCCATGATTTTCCGGCAACGAACTTGAATACATTATTAATGCCAAAGAGCTTTTTCGACAAGTGTGCAGCATGTGGGCTCCAGGTTAGGTCACGATCTACAATGACACCTAAAAATCGATGATTGCTCTTATATGCGATAGATCTGCCATCGATGCACAATGGGTAGAAAGACATCGGTTTACGTGTAAACGCCACCTCTGTGCATTTTTCTGTGGTGAGGGTCAACCCTTGCTGGCGAAGGTATGCCGATGTCATTGTTGCCACCTTTTGTATCCTTGCGCGTACTTGAGGCCGTGTCACGCCGGACGCCCAATAGCAGATATTATCAGCGTAGAGAGATATATAAGCCGTCTGTGGCGGCATTTCGGTGAGCCCCACCAGAACCAGGTTGAAAAGTGTCGGACTCAACACGCCGCCTTGTGGCATCCCACGACTTGTGAAATGCTTATTCGTAGATCCATCTTCAGTTAGAACGAACATGGATCTCTTTGTGAGGTAGCTTCTTACCCATCGAAAGACACGACTTCAAGTTCAGCTGCTTCGATAGCATTGAGAACAGCCGCACGGGTCACGTTGTCATAGGCACCTTTCACGTCTAAGAACAGAGCTACCGACAGCCGCTTCTTGGCTTTCTGTTGCTGAACAGAGGTCACTAAGTCAATGATGCTGTCGATTGAAAACCAACCTCGTCGAAAGCTAGCCATAGCATCAGGATAGATGTTATAAT